TGGGCTCCCAGTGACATGTGGCTCGAGTCTGGACCGGCAGCTTGAGATGCATATCGGACACACGTGTACATGCTCGAGATCCTGGGAGAAGAATGGATTGCGGTGTAGCTGTCCCCCAGGAATGATTTCTTACTCTCCCTCTCTCTGTCTCTGTCTCTCCAGTGTGCCCTAAGGCAAAAACCTCTTTTCAAAAAATACAAAAAAGAGTCGCAAACTTAGGTTGATCTCCCCTTCGATCGCACGGCTATGGAGATATTTAGGTAAGGCCGCGCGTGGTGAGATCAGAGGCGTGAAGGCCAGTGTGTGTACGGCGACTGCCACCGAGAAGGAGCTCTGTCCGCAGGAGCCACCGTGGTGTGTTTACTGCCACCACCAGCGTGCTCCCTTGAGCCACAGAGGAGCCGAGGTTACACGGCTTCCTGCTGCCCGTCCCGCCCTGCCGTTGCAGAACCTTCCCTCTTCTTGGCATCAGCCTTTTCAAGTGGTTGCCTCAGAGGTTTTTTTTTTTTTTCTTTTAAACATTTCTGTTTTTGTTTCTTAATTTTACTTATTGTTATTATTTTTTAATTTGATCAGAGAGAGAGAATGAGAAAGTCAGCTGACAGGCCTGGGACACATGACCGCAGGCCACGTGAGAGTCCAGTGCCTTAGCCACCACCCCACCTATCAGCACCATCCTCAGAGAGTCCTAAGGACAAACAGGCCGCAGTGTCTCAGTGACAGGATGGAGAGTGGGGGATGGGAGAAGAAAGCGATGTCTCCACGTTGTTTCTGAGACCAGAGAGCATCGAGGCCTAGCACAAAATACCGTCCACGGATTTCATATTTTTTCTAATTTTTTTCTGGAGGGCATGTGTGCTCACTGGAGAGATGAGAGACAGAGAGAGAAAGTAAGGAAGCACCCACCCCTCCAGGGGGGAGGATCACTCCACAATCCCTTCTCCATTCTCCTCTTGAGATTTTGGGCACATACAAGCGTCCGCTGTGATTTTTTAAAGAATTATCTTTTTATCTTAACTTTATTTATTTATTTATTTTAATTTGACCAGAGAGGGACAGAGCGAGAGTGAGAGAGAGAGGGAAAGTGAGAAAGCAAACCGCCAGGTCCAGGACTCAAACTGCGGTCAGCCATGTGGGAGTCCAGCGCCCTTGCTCACCACGCCACCTGCCGGCGCCTGGTGGGATTGTTCAGAGCTGCCAGGTCAGGACTTAAACAGCAGAGTTGACTATGCGAGACCCAGCCACCTTGGCCTCCGCGCTACCTGCTGGCCGGTACACGTGTCATTTTAAATTGTCAGGTAGGCACTTTCTCCCCCAGATTTTTGTCACAGGGCGAGTGCGTTTGTCAGAGAGAGACACAGAGAGAAGGAAAGGGAGAAATCACCCTAGAGGAGATGGCCATGACACATCCCCTTCTCCTCCATTCTCCTCTTAGGGGTTTGGGCACACACACATGCACCTGGCATGACTTTCAAGCCGCCAGGTCGGCACTCGAACCAGGTGGCTTGCGTGTAAGCAACTGTGGGAACATGTTACAGGGTGCGATTTCCAAATAGGTCTGATCACCGGTTGCCAGTTTAGGGTGTGTGAGCGCAGAAGGGGTGGTGGCGAGGACATTGGGACTGGACCGGGAGCGCTAGGGGAGGGCGAGGGAGGTCGGAGTGGGCAAGCTGGGGGTGCGGAGATGAAGACGCGGACGAGCTGTGCAGAGCCGTAACTAACAGATGGCCATGGCTGACCTGTTTCAGGGTGAGCCAGATGGAGCCTAACTCCTCTCTCCCCATGAATATGTCTGGGGGGACCCCCACGGCACCAGCCGGCTACCTGGCCCTGGACATCTTCTCCTACTTGGTCCTTGCAGTCACCTTTGTCCTCGGCGTCCTGGGCAACGGGCTTGTGATCTGGGTGGCCGGCTTCCGCATGGCGCGCACGGTCACCACCGTCTGTTACCTGAACCTGGCCTTGGCCGACTTCTCCTTCACCTGCACGTTGCCGCTCCTCACGGTCTCGAAGGCCATGGGGGGACACTGGCCTTTTGGGCTGTTCCTGTGCAAGTTCATTTTTACTGTGGTGGACATTAACCTGTTTGGGAGTGTCTTCCTGATCGCTTTCATCGCTCTGGACCGCTGCGTCTGCGTCCTGCATCCCGTCTGGGCCCAGAACCACCGCACCGTGGGGCTGGCCAGGAGGGTGGTCTTCGTGCCCTGGATCTGCGCTCTGCTCCTCACCTTGCCGGTGATCATTCGTGTGACCACGGTACCTCACGTCCGGTTCCCGGGGAAAACCGTCTGCACTTTCGACTTTTCTCCTTGGACCGACGACCCTGTAGAGAAGTTGAAGGTGGCCGTCACCATGCTGACGGTCAGAGGGATCATCCGGTTCATCATCGGCTTCAGTGCGCCCATGTCTGTCGTCGCGGTCTGCTACGGCCTCGTGGCCACAAAGCTCCGCAGACAGGGCCTGATTAAATCCAGCCGCCCCTTACGCGTCCTGTCCTTCGTGGTGGCGGCCTTCCTCCTCTGCTGGTGCCCGTATCAGGTGGTGGCCCTCGTGGCCACGGTCAGGGTCCGGGAACTCTTGCTTGGTACGGGCCAAGAGCTCAGAATGGCGCTGGACGTGACGAGCTCCCTGGCCTTCTTCAACAGCTGCCTCAACCCAATGCTCTACGTCTTCATGGGCCAGGACTTCCGAGAGAGGCTGATCCACTCCCTGCCGGCCAGTCTAGAGAGGGCCCTGAGCGAGGACTCAGCTCCGACCAGTGACACCGCGGCCAGTTCTGCTGCAGCTCCTGCCGAGGCCGAGCTAAAGGCGATGTGAGGAGGGAGCCAGGGGCCCCTTCTCAGTTCCTAGCTCCACTTCATCCCATCGCCCCACCTCGAGTCATCCCACGCCACACGCACTCCCTGCTTATCTGAGCGTTACCCACACTTCAGAGAAAATTCCCTGTGCACCCTGATTTGGAGGGAGAAGTAGATGAAAAGCTTTTTGCTGTTGGGACCCTAGCCGGGGTGGTCAGAGGTGAGAGCAGGTAGGAAGATCATAGCCCCGCTTGTCTAGAGTGGTCCTGAGCGAAGCTTACCCTGGCATAGTTATCGGTATTATCCATTCATGCTGACAGTGTCCTACTGTGGGTAATAAGTTGTGCGGTTACCCTAGAACGAGGGATGGGGTGTGAAAGAGT